AAAGTGTGGCTCTGCTTGCGGGTTAGTTGGTTCTTCCGCCGATATCCTAGTCTTACGTTAGTCTTTTTCTCGACATTGCTATAGTGTAGTTCGCTGCGGACGGTTGGGCGTGTCAGGAACCGATGGAGAACGGGTTTGGCGCGGTGCCAAACCCGTTCTCCACCAGTTGTTAAGCGAGCAAATGATATGACTGTATCATATCGTTCGTATTACTCGTTTTCTACCACTTTTTGTCGCATGCGCGCTTCAACAAGAAGGCAGAGAACGGCTTTGACGGGGTGACACACTCATACTGCCTGACACGCCCAACCGTCCGCAGCTAACTAGTGTACCATGTCTCCTGCTCACAAACTGTGTACAACCTTTTTACTTCTGAAGCTTCTGACTTTTAGAAGGCAGTGCTGAATTGCAATGGCGGGCATCTGAATACGGCCGACATCTTGGCATTGCTTTCCAGCTGGTTGATGACCTACTGGACTTCATAGCTTCAGCTGATATGATCGGAAAGCCTGTTGCGGCAGATCTTAAGCTGGGTAAGCATTTTTTTTGCTACGAGAGTTCTTTTTTATGTGGAATCGTCTCTTCCCACTTGTGCTAGGCTGTAGCATAGGGGTCAGTATACTTGCTGTTAACTTCTTTAGATCATTTCTAGGTCTCTCAACTGGTCCTGTAATCTTGGCAGCTCAACAATATCCGGAATTAAACGTGCTTATGGCGAGAAAGTTTGCTGAGCGGGGAGACGTGGATAGGGCCAGGGACATCGTGTTGAATTCGAATGGTATCGAACGAACGCGGAGTTTGGCTCGGCAACACTCACAGGATGCCGCACGAATAGTAAGCTTTTACAGCTGGTCTTGACATACTGTGACATAATGCCGTTCCTTAGCTGCTTTCCTTACCTTCAAACGATAGGGCGTCTAACGCGGGCATGGCTCGAGCGCAGTTAGAGATTTTCTACCAGTTATAGCGGACTCGGGATGGCATCATAGGTGGGAAACTAGGTTCTGGCTGCGCTCCAACATCAGACGCCCCGTTGCTTGTAGGGATAATTACTGCATAATGTCACCCCATCTATTACTTTCATTTGAAACCGGTCCCTTCAAACCAAACCGGGCACTTATAGATCAGCTCGAGACGCTCTCTTTACACCAGACAGCTAATTATCCAGATCCCATGAGACCACCGCAAGCCCCGCCTCAACAGTTTCACCCATTTTTCATTTCCTCAGAAGAAGGGCGGAATCGTATGTGTGTCGGTATATCAGTCCATTTCAGTTAGAGTGTTAGCAAAAGTGCAAAAAAAAACTCACAGAAACAAATGACAGAAGACCAAAAGACAAAAGACCAAAAGACAGAAAATTTGAAAATTATGACAGCGCTGAAAAGTGAGCTTGGCTGTGAGACAAGCGTGTTTTGTAAAGGTGGCAGTAATTCCATTAAAGACACAAGGTACGTCCAAACACCTTGAGGGTGTATGAGACTATCAGCCCCCAGCTGTCGATGTGTCGTGGTCCCCCCCCAAAACATGCCTGGAATGGAGATACAGGTCGGTGAAACACGCTAGTTCCTCCATGCTTCGCCTCACACTTTGGCGGCGCGATTGCCGCGTCCTTCAATAAGCTACATCCGTTGGCAAGCGCTGCGTGTTCGCGTGCCTGCTCCTTGGCACTTTGCCAAGTGAGCAGCACGCGACTTTTAACCTTGTCAAGTCCTTTATTGTGCTCTCAAATTACGAGTAAAACGCAAATTTCCTGACTGCCGAGTACATGTAGGTGCTCTACAAAATAAGAATCGAATGATGACAAGGCGCCAGAACTCAAGAGCAACTCGGCTGCACCCGCAGAATCCATAAGAATCCGCGCATTCCCAGAAAACATGAGAATAAAAACAATCCAAGCGTCCCACTCGTTTATTCTAAGTATTTCTATGGCTTTGGCGCCGGATTCGCGCCGGATCGTAGAAATTTACAGGCGATTTCAACTAATTTGCCTTTCCTTGATTTTTTTTCATTTTTGTTTTATTCGTGGCCGGTATGTGGCTTCATTTCGTAGCCGTGTGTTCATTTCTCCTTGTTACATTCAGATTATTGAACTATGGAGCAACACCTAAATTTTATTCCGCAATCAGTGAAATTGCGTTTTGGCTTGTTATCAAACTAACGACTAACCGTGGAAATACGCGCCCCCCCCCCCCCATCGAGGATGCTTGCAGAACTGGCACAGTTGCTTTTAAGTTCCCCTCGTCATCATCTTCTGTTCTTATTTTGCAGCACCTCCAATGTTATCCGCATCAGGAAATTGCGTTTTACTTATTTGAAAGCGCAATTAAAGGACTTGGCAAAGTGCCAAGGAGCCGCACGCGACACGCGCGCTTGCAACGGATGTTATGAAGGACGGGAATCTGCGCCGCAAAAAGGTGTAAGGCGGAGCATGGAAGAATTAGCGTGTTTCACGGTCCTGTATCTCCATTCCTGGCATGTTTGGGCGGGGGGACCACGACACATCGACATCTGGGGGCTGATAGTCTCATACACCCTCATGTGTATGAGCGTACCTAATGGGTTGTACCTTTGGAAAATTGGTCCGACATGGTTTAGTAAGGTGTCCAGTTCTTTTTGGAAAGAGTAGCGATTTAGTTTTTTGAAATTGTCTGTTTGGAAAAGGCGAACCTGTAACTCACGACCCAATCCTGGTAAGAGGTCAATGGATGTGCAGCCCGGCGTGCCACGTTCTCAAATCAAAGTGCTCGGGATGTAGGCTGGAGTACTGGTACCCGGGTGCTGCTTGGGACTCCGCCGCGCGCTATCTTCAAGGTGCAGCACTTGCGCCGATACCAAGGATACAGAACAACCGGGAAGTAGGAGGGCTCCAGACAAGTAGTGCGCATTTACCCGTGCTCAGACGCGTGGGTGGTGATTCGGCAGCACGGGTGAAGCATGGCGACGCCACTCGCGTACAGTTACATTTAGCCCCGTTCTCGTGCTGTTTTGAGCGAAAAAAATGCTCACCACTGCAGTTGCACACCCCATTACTACATACGTGGCAAGAGTCAGGATCCACGGAGTGAATGTACAGTTTGTCTTCAGCTGGCGAATGGTTGGAAGTCCCGAACTCATCAACAGATATCGCACCTCAATACTGACTAGTTGCAGTCGTGCAACTGGTAATTAAAGCACTATATTTGAGTGATAGATATTTGCTTTCCCAAGAAATTTGTAGGAAAAAGGGAATGCATGATGCTTTTTTGAGAGTCGATCACACAAAATATTGTTTTCTGATGTCGACAAGCTCGGTCTTTGCTGTTGCTTTCGAGGATTTCAAAGCCAGATGAGATCAAACTGTAAGAGGGAGTGAATGTTGGTGTTTGATTCTCTCAGTATAAGGAGAAGCTAGTGCTGGTGTTTGACGCGCGGTTCGGATCTAAGCGTTGAGGCCATCCGAATCCAAGATTGGCGAGTCCTTATCTCCCTCATGTTAATATCCCAGTTTTCTTTCGAGTCAGCATTTGATGTATGACGTGTGGTGCGAGTGGTATTGCTTTTCCCCTTGAATGACGTGCCAATCTAATGAAATCCTCAGGAGATGACGACATCAAACAACACTATAGGAAAAAGCCGACTGTGGACTTGCTCGGAATACTGGAAAAATTCTAGAGAAATTCACAATCGGGCAAGAATCCTTTGCAATATCGTTACTAAGGCGGACATTGGTAAGAGGTGATCCA